TGGAACAATTCCGCATTCGTTTGGATTTGAGACAGCTTTGGTTTCGTGAACACTGTACCTCCCTTTGTCCTGCGGAGGTGGATCTAGGCTGGGATTTACCCAAGCTCCGGCTCTTCGAGTTTCAGGACAATGACGATTCGCCAGGTCCAACAGCTCAATGAGCATCATTTGGAATGTGGAATGATGCTTCTTACGGCCTCCCCAAACTTTTCGGGGACATGCCATGCGATGGACTCCTTACGGCCTCCCCATGCTTTGCGGGGACATGCCAGAGTCACAGCTCTGAACAGTGCATAACAGGCTCGTCTCACCGTTTCAATTGGTGGTGGTGCAGCGAGACTCCCCTTTTTCCTGGCAGTCTTTTTGGGGCTTCAGCAACAGCTTTGCTGCTCAGCTTCTTTGCTTTGCATTGCTCAGCCGTTGCACCACCAGTCAAAAGAACAGTCTCGCTGTGAGTTTACTTTAGGTAGCTGGCTGTCGTAATAAAAGTCTTGTGAACGATACTTGTGTTTACTCAATGTTGATTATATACATGCTTTTATTCGCAGCTTGCTGATCCCGCTGCTTTGTGGGATCAAGCACGACAGCCAGCATTGCACCATTCAGCTTAGCTTCATGCTTGCTTGAAGATTTTCTCCCGCCCGCCACTCCCTGGGTTCACCTACAGTGGTGCTTAGTTGCTAGCTGGACGATTAGGATCCTTTTCGAAGGGGCTTCAGCAACAGCTTTGCTGCTTAGCTTCTTTGCTTTGCATTGCTCAGCCGTTGCACCGCCAGTCAAAAGAACAGTCTCGCTGTGAGTTTACTTTAGGTAGCTGGCTGTCGTAATAAAAGTCTTGTGAACTGTTAGATCCCAAACTCCTCTATCTGTCCATGAAATTAGAACTAGAAGAATTGGAGTCGTTCAACGTTGGAGAAGTGGTGAGCAAGCGAGAAGCGTATCGACTTGCTAAGGAGAGCGGAAGAAGAGTTCTTTCGAGCCGTTGGGTCAATACGGTTAAGAAGCCTGGTCTTTATCGCTCTAGACTTGTTGTCCGCGATTTTGCCGCTATGGGCGGCACGACGCTCGCTGAGGGGATCTATTCTCCTACCACCAGCCTGGAAGGGCTGCGGCTCCTACTTTCCGTTCTGTGTAGAAAAGGGTCTGTGCTGTCCTGTGACGTTTCGGTAGCGTTCATGCACGCCGCTACTGCGCGGCCGGAGTTTGTGCAGCTTCCGAGTAACATAGGAAACGCAAAGACCGGCGAAAGGGTCTTTTTGAAACTGTTTCGTGCCATGAACGGGCTTCGAAGTGCCCCGCTTTCTTGGTATAAGGAGCTGTCGGCGTACCTTGGGAACCAAGGATTCCAACAGATCTTGGACCCGACAATCTTCCGCAAGAAAACCAGGAATGGTTTGGTGATTGTCCTCTTTTATGTTGATGATTTGTTGATTTGGGCCGAGAACCCTGCTCAGCGGTCAAACCAAAAGCACAGTTGTCGTACTGGTGCTTGTAGAATCCCTTGCCAAACAAGTGGCACCAGTCCACTGTTTTCCAGCTTCCGGCACTCCGAGGGGGTTCTATTGAGAAGACCCGGCCACACTCGTGCTGATAGTGCGCGAGGTTGAAGTGCAAGTGCTTGACTGCGGTCTGGAACAAGCTCTGCCACGTCTCTGGAAGTCTTCGGTCGGTGCGTCGGCCCAACGTCACCCAAAAGGTGCATGGCTCGGATAAGTTGTCGCACCACAGCTTGGTCTGAAGGAGACGTGAGGTCCAGTCGGGTGTTGGGTGGTGTATCGTGTCCACAGCTGGTCCAACCACCAATCCAGCAGCTCGAGCAGTTTCTGTCAAGCGTGCACAACCCGAATACAGCTCCTCAGTGCTCAGCTTTGCAGGCACACACCCTAAACTAACAACCCGAGCCTTCAGGATTCAGCTTACATGTATATACAGAAATTAACATTCTGCGACGTGTAACTCACAAGCAGACAAGTCTCCCAGAACTGCCATGGTCCAGGTGGCAGGGCTAGCTTCTGAGTCAACGTCTGGCTTATGGAGCGTGGAAGTTCAGGCCAGGTATTGCGCACCAGGTGGCAGCTCTTCGTCTTGTTGTACGCTGTCACATCTGCTGCCACTGGCCGTTTAAGCTTGCCATCTGCCTTTTTCGGCTTCTTTACTCGGGCCGGTTTGGCAGTTTCCTCGGGCAGTGGCATCGATGGTGCTATCATCGGGCTCCGGGTCTGCTTTGCGCTTCTGCTGGGTGCCCGTACCGGCTGACTTCGACCTCATCTTCAGCTTCAGTGGACACGTCTCCTGTGGCCAGCAGGCCAAGCAGCTTGCTTGAAACCAATAGCACGACCTTGCCATGGCTTCAATCAGATTCAATCCTTGCACTGGCTTCACAACCTGATCTTGGACTTTGACTTAGCACAATTGACATTCCCAGAAGCCCAATACGGTTCCAAACATGACACTGTTGTGCTCTCGGGTAAGTGCAAAGCCGTTGCTTGTTGTTTGCTTTGCAATTGTCGGACTCCCCTCGTCCAGACATTGACCCACAGTGTAGCAGTGGAGCCATGTGAAGCAAACAACCATGTGTGATAGACATCTCTAGGGACACTCTGGAAAGTGGATGCCCGCAACTGTACTGCGCGCAATCTGACAATCCTGGGACCCTGGCCTGGGCAGCCCGGGCAGCTCAGAGGACAGTGCTGTAGTTCGGACGGAAGCCTGCCGCAGCCAGGAGGGGTATGAAGAACACCCAAGTGAAACACTGAGTCTCACTGTGTTCAGACATGTGCTTATGTCTAGTCATGACTTTATTCAATGTTCTTCTGCAGTGATAGGGTCATTCAGAGGGATTGCACCACTGCCGACGCTCGAAAGGTGTATGAAGACCTGAAGAAACGCTACAAGCTTAAGCTAACAGGTGAACTCTTGGAAGGAAAACCAGGTGAGGTGTCTTTCTTGGGACGTAGGATCTTCCGGAGGAAGCCCGGAGAGCCCTGCGTATACTTTGGCTTGGACGCTAAGTCGGAATCACGAAGGTGGCGCCGAAGCTTCCACCATTAGAGCGGCGGTATGGTCACCTCATCAAGAAAGGACAGGACACACCTCTTACGCCAGAGGCGCACGAGCGCTTTCGACGTACATTAGGACGCCTAGCCTGGGCGTCGCTTTCAAGGCCCGATTTGCAATACGTATGCGGCTTTCTAGGACGCCACCAGTCAGCCCCCAATGAAGCAGCCGAAGCTTGCGTGAGGGATGTTCTGAGGTGGGTGTCTGGTTTACCGCATAAGGTCCAAGTGTTCCCTGCACGTAGAGAGCTGTTGGCCCCTGATGATGACCTGGAGTCAGTGTCGTGTTTTGTTGACGCGTCTTGGGGTTTGAACTCTGTGAGTGGTGGAATTGTGACCTGGAACACTTGTTGCTTGAAGACGTTCAGTAGGAAACAGACGACCGTGGCTCTTTCATCAGCAGAGGCCGAGCTAGCAGCGCTGACTGAAATCGCAAGAGAGGGATTGTGTATATCTCTTTTGGTGCAGACGATGGTGGAGGGGATGCCTTCCGACGCGGAGGAAGGCCGATATCAGTTGCACGCGTACGGGGACTCTGAAAGCGCCCTGTCAATAGCGCAAATGAGTACCTTCCTTAGGAAAGTCCGCCACATAGAGTTGAGAGCGACTTTTCTCCAACAACTGGTCGCCAGGGAAAGATTGACGCTAGAGTATATACCGGGGAAACTCAACCCCGCAGATGCTCTAACTAAATCCCCAACTGCGGAGAACTTGCTCAGCCTTTGCGAGGCAAGCGGCCTCATTAGCGAGCCAGAATCGTGGTCGTCGATTTCCGAAGAAAACGTTGAAGAAGCAAGAGATGAGCCCAATATCGCTAAGGAAGTATCCGCGAATGCAGTAAGGTCCTCTCCGCTGGAGGTTCCGAGCTCCTGGATGGAAGCCGCGACGGCATTGGCGAAAGGAACAGTGTCGCTCGTCGTTCTGGAGCTTTGCTGCGAAGAGTCGAGCGCTATAGCCAAAGCGTGTGCGCGCGAGAAAGGTGTAGCGTACTTTGAAGGAAAGGGATCTGGAACACAAGCCATTCACTCGCAGCAAGATGCATCGGGTTTGAGGAAGTGGCTTGTGATGCACCAAGTATAGTGGCCCGTTTTATCGTCCTGCTCGATGCCTTTATATGCTCCTGAATCCTCTGGACTGCGTGTGGTCATCATATTGATGGCGAATTGGGCCAACGGGAGACTGTTGCTTCCTTTTACGAAGAGCCCGCAATAGAATTCGTCACCTTTTCCCACTCGGGCGTCCCCGTAGTTGCTGGTATATTCTTTCGCTTCGCTTGCGCGGCCGCCTCCTCGGTGTGGGTATAAGTACCTTCGTTGGCCCTCTCTCCCCCAGACTGTGGTGCACAAAGCGTTCGAATCCCGATTCTTGGCAAAAGTAAACCGACAGGCCTAGAGGCCTTGCAGCAGGACCCAGCACACTCCGCGAGCACAAAGCCCTCGAAACCCTCGACAGCCCCAAACCTGCCAGACCCCACAGCGTCCTTCGAACGCACAAGCCCGGAGATCCAACCCTAAACCCCAAACCGTAAACCCTAAACCCTAGACCCTAAACCTAAACCCTAAACCTTAAACCCTAAAACGAGGCCTGGGTGGCATCATGTGCCACTTCGGGGAAGCCGGCTTTGGAGCTGGGCCGCTGGCCGGGAATGGCTTGGGTACGGCCAAGTGTTGTTGGTTTCCGCTCCAGTCGCACCTATAACAAGCAGGTGAGCCCGTCACGGGGTCTTTCCCGATGACAACGGCAGCTGAAGAGCGCATGGATGGCCCGACGTTACTGAAACTCTTCATGATAAAGCCTGTGGATTTCAAAAGCCGCGACAGTATAGAACTGCCGCAGAGTAGCACAGAATCAGATGTGACGGCGACGGCTCAAGCCACCAGCCCAGCATAGCCCATCAGGAACCCGGTGCGCGGCCATCAGTCTCAGTCCGAGGTTTCCGACAGCATGTGCATTGCACAGGAGGTCGAAGACCGGATGAAGGAGGTCAAGGACAGCTCGGAGATCTCGGAGATGGAGAGCGATATCTCGCCGTGCGCCGTAAGCGACGACTTTTCTGCGGACTCGGAGAAGCAGTCTGGTGGCCGACCCCTTTCCATGTTCAGCCATGGAGCCGTCCTGCCCACAGCCGTTTGCCTTACCAAGTCTGCTTTTGGCGCAGGACTTTTGACCATGGCAGGCCACACGGCGGAAGTGGGCATTGTTTTCCAAACTTTCGCGTTGATCGGGGGAGCCGTTCTTACCCTGGCCAGCATTTGCTTTATCGCTACGGCTTGCATCGCAACAGACCGCTACAGCTACGAGGACATGTGCGATGAATTGCTCCACCCTGTGATGGCCCTCTTCACCGGGTTCGTAAACACTCTGGCCTGTGTTGGTTCTGCAATTGGCTACCTCATCATTTGCGGCCAACTCTTTGGCGTGGTCACTGGCGCATCAGACTCTCACTGTAAGCTGTTCATCCTGCTCACGGGCGTCTTGGTTTGTGCTCCGTTGGCCATTGCCAGGCATGTTAGCTGCTTGCGGCACCTGGCTGCAGGGAGCATCGCTGCTCTTCTCATTTTGGTCGCTTGCGTCATGTGGTACTATGCCGAGCACGGATCAGATGGAGACGATATGTTGTTCTCCTCCACGGCCACAGCCGTCACCTACATGTCAAGCATGAACAATGTTGTCTTCGCCTACAACAATCAGTTCAATGTGCCCCAACTTACTGGGGAGCTGAAGCCGCCAACGACCATGCGTATGCACATGGCGGCCGTCATCTGCCTGGTCGTGTGCTTTGGGGTCTACATCTCGACGTCTGTGTTCGGGGTGCTGGCCTTCGGCATTGGAGATCAGCAGAAACAGTCCCTGGTGAACTCCCTGAAGCCCGTTGGACGCAACCCGTTTGTGCTGGTGACCATGGTGGGCCTGATCTTCAGCCTGCTCACATGCTTCCAGTTCCATGTCTACCCGGTGCGTCAGTTCGCTGCCTATTTGGTGCGACGCGTCCGCAAGCGCGACGCCGATACCGAGGAGGAGGACAAGGTCATCTGGGGCAAAACGGTGACTAGGTGGTTCGATATCTTCTTCGCTCTCTTCAGCGTGGCCGTGATAAGCTTCATTGCGGTGGTCGTCAAAGACCTGAGGACGGTGCTAAACCCTAAACCCTAAACCCTAAACCCTAAACCCTAAACCCTAAACCCTAAACCCTAAACCCTAAACCCTAAACCCTAAACCCTAAACCCTAAACCCTAAACCCTAAACCCCAAACCCTAAACCCTAAACCCCAAACCCTAAACCCTAAACCCTGAGGACCGTGCTTCAGTTTGTCGGATCCTTTGCAGCCTACGTTGCCTTCATTGTGCCGCCCATCTGGCTTCTCACAATCCGACGCCGCTCGCCGAGCTTCCGCTGGTGCAAGGTGGAGACCCAGCTCCTCTTTCCACCTGTTGGAATTATTTTTTATTTCTGTTTAGCTAAACCCCAAAAGGATATTAAAGATATTCATCTTATTAAGGTTCTAGGGGGAGTGGAGGCTCTGTTTGCTGGTGCTCTCCTTGGGCATCTGCCTCTTTGCATTCGGCATCTATACAGCGGTGTCGTCCGTGTAAGGCCGGTGCCAACCATGCTTTCGTGGGAGCCGATGCTGCCGGGTGTTCTGGGGCTTTGCGGCACTCTTAAGCTTCCGCTTTCGATCCCACAGTGCGTCTGCGCGCGCAGTGGCCCCGAAATATTTAAGATAAAGGCGCTGCTGTACAGAGCGTGCTGCCTGAGCTGGAAACAGTCCAACTCTTGGCATCTCCAGGCGCCAAGCAGTCGCCCGGACCTTTGCTGAGGGGCTCAGGTGCATATTCTATATCCCCCTTGGGAATCATTTTTGTTAATATAAACCCCAAGAGGATGTTAAAGACATTATTCTTATTCAGGTTCTAAGGGGAGTATAGTATTGTCTACTTGGAGGTTCATGGTACTTATTATTAACCAATCATATCTGTACTTATCACTGTACTTATAACCATATTAGGGCACTTAAGGGGCTTACAAGTGCAGTTATAAGTACAGTTATCATTGGTTAGTAAGTACCATGAACCTCCAAGTAGCTGCCGTTTAAATGGCAGGAGTTCTCAGATGTCTCATGGAGCAAGGCCGCAGCGCACTTTGCCCCAGGAATGTGAGGCGCAGCCAACGGCACGTCCAGTCTCCCTCGACTCTCGACCGCCTGTCTAAAAGGTTTAGGGTTTAGGGTTTAGGGTTTAGGGTTGAAGGTTGAGGGTTGAGGGTTGAGGGTTTAGGGTGTAGGTTTTGGTTGCCATTTTTCGTCTGGCATCGAGACTGTTCTGTGCCACACCGTCAGTGCACCTTTACATGATGCACTGATGCCGAGAGCTTGGCCGCTCTCATTCTGTACACTCATGTCTCCCGCGGCATCAGCATGTCGCCGGCAAGAGCCTGCAAATCAGACATGCAGGAGCGCAGTGGAGCATGAGAAAAAGCAGATCCCGCATCTGCTTTTCAGCTACTGACATTACATTACCTCTGCAGTGCAGACTATGTATTCTGACCTGGTTTGGTCTCGTTGGCCGACAGTAGAGCCCCATCGTTGTAACCAATCGTTCGTTTGCTTGCCATGGTCTTCGCCGACCGACACATGGAGTAGAGTTGTCCGAGGACCGTTGAGGGTATGGCACTTGTGCGGCTTCTTTTGTCGCCAAGGCTTTCGGGTTTGATTGCAGAGCGAATGCTTGTTACACCTGACCGACTCAATTCAAGCAAGATGTTGAGGTACTGTATGTAGCACGATTACACTACGTAGAGGTATTCTACGATGTGCCTGCGTATGAGAGTGTTGAAGTTTAAAGTTTCGCCTTCGCACCCAACATGCACTGTCAACCATTAGCAGTTCGCGCTTCAGGCTTGTTTGTGTAAGTGATCCGGGTTTTCGTGGAGGGTAGTGGTGGCCACTGTAACCCTAAACCCTAAACCCTAAACCCTAGACCCTAGACCCTAAACCCTAAACCCTAAACCCTAAACCCTAAACCCTAAACCCTAAACCCTAAACCCTAAACCCTAAGCCCTAAGCCCTAAACCCAAAACCCAAAACCTTATAAAGCCCTGAAACCATGGACCCGCGGGCCCACCCTGGCAGCGATGCCGGGGCTTGTGGACCCTACGCCCTTCTCTGCGCCGAACGCTGAACTAAACAAATTTCGCGAGGTTTACTTACTAACCCGCTATAACTGTACTTATCACCCACTTCTATAAGCCCCTGAAGTGCCTTAAAAAGGCTATGAGTACAGTTATAAGTACAGTTCTAATTGGTGAATAAGTACCATGAACCTCCAAGTACTGACCAGAAGATCATCCCCACCAAACCCAAGACCCTCCGAACTTCGTAGGCAACGTCGCCTGCTGCCATTGCCTACCCTAAACCCTAAACCCTAAACCCTAAACCCCAAACCCTAAACCCTAAACCCTAAACCCTAAAAGCCCTAGGAGTTTTTGGAGCCTAGCTCGAAGGTTGTTACTATGGGCCTCCAATCAAGTCCGGCGCAAGATGACGCCTCGGAATTGTCTTCACATAATAAACCACTTTCGGATCATCCATCTTTCTGCGGGGCTAGAGATAACCCTAAACCCTAAACCCTAAACCCTGAACCCTGAACCCTGAACCCTAGGCCCCAAACCCTGAACCTTGAACCCGAGGCCCCAAACCCTGAACCCTGAACCCTAAACCGTAAACCGGGTGCAGGTTTACGGTTCTTGCTGTGGTAGGGGCGAGTGTGTACCAGCAGCCGAGCTGGCCCCAAGCTCGTTTAATCCGAGTCCCGCGAATGACAAAGCATGGTGGCAGTTCTAAATCCCAGCGGCCCCACTTCATGCGTTTACACATTCAACATGCTTGTGCCCTCAAAAAAGGCACCAGAAGCCCATGCCCAGACGTACAGATACCCATACACACAATATTCAGTCTACCAGTCAGCCCGTGAGTCTGTCAGTCACCCAGTCAGCAGTCGGTAGTCAGTAGGCAGTTTCATGCGCCATGGGTGGTGTTGCCCCAAGCTGCTGCTCCAATGACCACCCACAGGACCGTTAAAGCATTGCAGAGTCAGAGGGAGCTTGGTAGAGGGGACTGAGCATGACTCCAAGATGGTAAGCAGCATCTTACACCCTGAAACCGCTACTGTATCCCAGCACACCCCACAAACCAAAACAACAAGGCCAACAGCACGTCAGGTAGTAAATAGGAGGGAGACCTGTAAATGGCAACATGGCACAAGCAGCTTGCTTGTTTGTGCGCATGTGCGCATACATCGCTGTCGTAGTAGGTTTGGCGCACCATCGTTGTAGTCGTCGTGCTAGTTGTTGTTCGTGTCGTTGCCGGAAGCCGTAGCCGTATCAGCAATAGTCAGTCGTCGAAACCCACGTAGCCAGCAGAAAGAGGAGAATCGGAATCAGAAGCAGCAGAAGCAATTGAAGCAAGAGCACACGTGCCACTAGCAACATGAATTTCTGGTGCTAGGACCAGTCATGGCAAAGGAAAGGAAGCTCATCATAGCAGCCTGACTCAGGACATCTTAGGACACTGATTAACAGTGAATCTGGAAGTGATAGCATTTTGGGCAGCGCCAGGCATGTGAGTGAGCACAGCATGTTTAATCACCCAAATTAGCCAAACAACTACAGCGGTCACCAGGCAGTGTGTGTGGCCGTGGTATTTGGTACCCCAAACGGCACTCAACTCTAAACCCTAAACCCTAAACCCTAAGCCCTAAGCCCTAAACCCTAAACCCTAAACCCTCAACCCTGAACCCTGAACCCTGAACCCTAAACCCTAAACCCTGAGCTCGATCTTCCGTCCCGAAGGAAAGGCCTGAGAGCATCAAGGTGGAGGTCGACAATGCGCTGCCGGCGCCGTGCTTTGAGGCCTTGCTTCTCATGGGGGCGTGCTTATTGGACAACCCGCATCGCTCGCTGGTTAACTCCTGTCTCCTTCCCCGCGTTTAGGGTTTAGGGTTTAGGGTTTGGGGTTTAGGGTTTGTACGTGTTGCCGTGACCCCGTCCCCCCAACCTGGAGGAGAGAAGTGGTCACATTCCTTACACTCCTCTTGCTTAAAACCACTGTGCACCGAGGAGCTCGAGCGAAGCCCCGCAGACAGCTTGGAGGTGGCGCCGATGTGGAGCAGAGTGGCTGGCAAATTCAGACCACTTGTGCCCTAAGCTACAAAAGGGTTTTCACACCATGGCAGCTATGGCCGTACCAGGGAAGTAAAGTTTGAGACGAACGTTTTGCCGCAGTCTTGGGATGTTAGGGACCGAGGGGCCGTTCACATGTTGAGGGATGCGGCGAAGGTGATTCGAGGCATGAGGTGCCCAAATTGGGAGGTTTGGGACAGGCCTTTGTTCCGGTGTATTCATGCAGGGCTGTGGAAACTTGCCGTTTTATGGAACATCACTTTCTGACTAAAGATCAGCGGTTGCTCCAGGTTGAAGACACTGTGGTCTGCGGCATGTGCACGGGCTCCCAAAAGGAATGGAAAAATGTCACATACCCAGACCCCTGGGATATTCTTCGGAACCCTTAAGGGGATCTACTTTCTGGATCCCCCCCAAGGGTCTTGGTACCTAGTGCTGCCCCACAAACACAGAAATGTCCATGTGTGGGAAAGCGCCACACTCTTTCTGCTCCGCATCCCAATCCTACACAGATCACCCATCGTAACCTCACCAGGTAAGTGGAGCCGAATGGAGGGCATGCGCGTCCTGGAGGCTTCCTCCCCGGCAGGTTTCTTGTGAGACTTGGGGTTACGGATAAGGTGCTGGATTTTAAGCTCATGGGGCAAGAAGTTGCCTTGGGAAGATGCTGTTTGCTGACACAGAACACTCGCATGATGACGATGACCTGCGCTTGGATTCCGAAAGATAGAAACAAAACGGCCTGACGTTTTTGAGTCCATTCTTTGCACAAAACTGGCTGGTTCTTAGTAGGGAATGAGGGAATGAGGGCCCTACATATACCCTTTAAGGGATTATATAGGGCCCTCATTCCCTCATTCCCAACTAAGAACCATGGGAAAAAGGGTGCGGAACTGTTAGGGGCGAGTCGCGGAGCCATCGGGACAGCACAGGCTGAGACCTGACAGTTGGTTTAGGGTTCAGGGTTTAGGGTTTAGGGTTATAGGGTTATAGGGTTATAGGGTTATAGGGTTATAGGGTTTAGGGTTTAGGGTTTAGGGTTTAGGGTTTAGGGTTTAGGGTTTAGGGTTTAGGGTAAGATGTCAAGGACATGTCGTGCCCCAAATAGTACCCTGTACGACTCTTGGGGGCCATTCTGAGGAAGAGCTGTCAATCTTCGTCTCAGCCTTGGCTGTTGCTTAGTAGGGAAGGGGGGGAATGAGGTACCCCCATGCAATCCCTGAAAGGGTGTACAAAAGGGCCCTAATTCCCTCATTCCCTGCTCGCCAACAGAAAGCAGCAGGTTGACCCGGCCATCCTGCGTGGCATTCCCCTCAAGGCCTGGCGGCGGGGGCAGGGGTTGGGTGGAGAGCCTTCGCACTAAACCCGAAACCCCCAAATAAAGCCTTAAATGAACCATTAAAATGCACCCCATGCACCCTTTAAATATTCAGTCCCTAAAGACACCCCCTGAATACACCCGCAAATACACCCCTAAATACACCCCTAAACCCTAAACCCTAAACCCTAAACCCTAAACCCTAAACCCCAAGCCCCCAAACCCTAAACCCTAAACCCTAAAAACCTCTAAACCCCCCAAAAAATCCCAAAGCGTGGAGGGCCCAGCTCTGCCCCTCAGGACAATAAACCGTGAACCCTCAACCCTCAACCCTCAGCCCTCAACCCTCAACCCTAAACCCTAAACCGTAAACCCTAAACCCTAAACCCTAAACCCTAAACCCTAAACCCTAAACCCTAAACCCTAAACCCTAAACCCTCTAGCTGTGCCCCTCAGGACTCGCTTCGCGCCTTTGGTAGACTCTGGCATCGCTCCCCGATCGATCTCCCGGAGAAGGCTCCGAGGGGACGACCATAGAAGACTCCAACGGAACATGGGGGTTTAGGGTTTAGGGTTTAGGGTTTGGTGTCCCTTCAAGGGAAGTCGGTCAAGATCTCGTCGGCAGATGTGTTTGCCCAGGTGCGATGCCCATGTGAAGAGAGGTTTGGGGTTGTAGTTTCGGGCGCACGTCAAGCACTTGGACCACGCTTTCGGCCTTGCCGGCTGCAAGCGGCATCGCCGGTGGGCTCCGACGTCAGAATATCGACCCAGGAGTCTCATCTTGTAAACCCTAAACGTCCTGCGCCCTGAGCCTCCTATAAACTGCAAGCCCGAATTGGGTTTGTCCGAATCGACTTCAGCATGTCTTTCTGCAGCTTCGCAGCCAGGAACGCTATTCACTCTACGACCGATCACTTCCAGTCGAAGGCTTCGATCCTTCGTAGTTCAAGCAAGCTTTTTGTTTGTAGCCGGCTACAATCCAACCTTCGTGTCGTCCGGTTGAAGTTAGTTAGTGCTTGGGGTGTAGGGTCATGTGACGGCCATGTGCAAACTCGAGAAGTAAGGACGTGTTCCTCTCGCACACCTGGCTGACCCCTGGCAAGTGGCCTCGGCACCGTCGGTGATTGTGGGTTCCTGTTGGATTGTTTCCTTCTAGTCTTCAGGGTTTGCAGTGGGTCTATGGGTTCTCGTAAGGGCTTACTAGACTCGTCTCGCAAACGGGGAACGGGGAACGAGAACCTGTCAAGCAAGTATTGCCCAAGCGCCGAAAGCAGCAAATCGAATCACGCACGACCACCGTGAACCCTGAGGCGTGTATTCAATCTGTGTGACAAGGTATTCTGATAAACGCCCGACAAGATGGAACTCTAGAATGTACACGGAGGAGCGAAGAAGCACGAAACGACAGACTTGACTGCACAGCAATAATATAATAGACGAGTCCAGCAATCACGCCTCTTCTTTCGAGACGCCCTTGCGCCACGATTTTCTGAGTGTCGTTGGACTTCAAGGTTTGGGGTCTAGGGTTGCGGTTTTAGGGCTTCGGGCTTAGGGTTTAGGGGCACAGTTTTGGTATCTTCCGGTATCTGTGCAAAAAAATCCCTTTTGACTGCATGTCCAGCGAGGGGGGCGATCCAGAAGCATCGCTAGGATCTTGGCGCCAACGGGAGCCGTTGTTCTGACAAACACTACGTACCAACCAGTGGCTTGCCCTACATACCTAGCGAACCCGACTGTCCGAACAGTCCTGGAGATGAGCATCTCGAGACTAGCAATGTTCAGAGCAGTTGCAGCAGTTAGCAGTTGCGGTCTTTTCGTGCTTTCGCGAAGACTGGATGCCCAAGCACCGGAAATCCTGAAGCTTACGCCGTCTGTCCAAAGAGGGGGTTTAGGGTTTAGGGTTTCGGGTTAAGGGTGGGAGTTTGGATTGCAGGAATCTTGCTCGAGACCCGCATTTTGTGCGCTGTTTACATCCTAAGCCACTGGATCCTCCACCACAATGCTCTCTTGAAATGCTTTCCCTGAAACTGACAATCCCTAATGGAGATTATAGTCGGGGGTACTCTAATCCCTTTTAAGGACTGTTAGATCCTCAATCGGGATTAGAAAGGGATAATCCCTTTTAAGGACTGTTAGTATAAGGGGGAACATGATCTCAGCCTTTCGAAAGTTTCTGTCCAGTTTCGACCGCCTCATTCCACACATCGGCCAGGTACAAGGTCCTCAGCCTCATGTTCCAGGTGCGTGATACGACACCTTGGGATATTCCCCCTTATATACGAACAGACCTTAATCGGGATGAGAATGGGGGGGGGGGGTACTACAATCCCTAGTAAGGACTGTTAGTATAAGGGGCAACATCCCAAAACGATACACATGAAGCTGATGTACTGTTGTCTACAGCTTTGGACGAGTTCGCTTGGATTCACAGTGGAATTCCTTCGCACAACTGTTGCTTTGTAATTGACTTGTTATTTTCAAGAAAACTATTGAAAAAGTGATGTCCCCAACACTACTTAATCATGCTTATGCTGTTGCGGTTTCACTTCGCTTTGCCATTCATTGAACGACAGGATGCAACCCTGTAGCAGTACCCGATGTGAGAAGTGTCATCCTGTTATCATCCGGAACCTGTCGCGCAGGCGGGCTGGCGGCAAATGCTCTTCTGGCAGGGTCTATGTGTTTCCATCGCCTCGGCGTTGTGCATGCTGGACATGATGCCTATGCCACTGGCACTTCCGCCAAGGTTCGCCTTCGCACCAGATACTAGGCTTCGATTACCAGGACTACATACTTGGAGGTTCATGATACCTATGAGCCAATTGTAGCGGTACGTCTCACTGTACTTTTCACCATGTTGGGGCACTTAAGGGGCTTACGGGACTGCATAGTGCTACCGCATAGTAGACTGACCTCCTGTGCTACCGACAAGATCCCTGCCACACGAAGCACGGTGGTACGTCACAAACACCCAGGAAAGGGAGACTTGAGAGGATACGGCTGTAACAGCTGTACGTCCTGCTGGTTTGGGGTTTAGGGGTTAGGGTTTCGGGTTTAGTATTTAGGGGAGACGTAGCTTCTCAGCAGTCGGTTGTGAACCTCAGGACACCACGTATCCCTACTTCCCCTGGTGCTTCCTCGCCTCCTTTCTGGGAACCTGCCTGGGCGCACTGCTGCTGCCCTACACTCCAGACCGCAAGGGCCGCGGCACCATGTGTCTACATCCCCCTTGGAAATTTATTTTCTATTTTTGTTTTTATCGAACCCAAGAGGGCATTCAGAATATTATTTTTATGAAGGTTCTAAGGGGAGTACAGGTGCTTCTTCGATGTCATCAGCATCCACCAGGTGAGGTCAGCTGGACTCTGCTTCTTCGGGGTTCATGGTACTTTAGCCAATTGTAACTGTACGTGTACTTATAACTAACCCTCTTATAAGCAAAATATAGTGCTCTAATATGGCTATAAGTACAGTTATAAGTACAATTAAAAGTGGTTAAGAAGTGCATGAAGGAAGGATGAAGAGCAGAAAGGAAAACAGCGACAGGGATAGAGCAACTAGAGCAGCAAAGGGAGAGGCTTGATGTTCTGCTGGACATGGCTTTCGGGATGGTGGTTTTGGCGAAGCGAGCAAGTAGAAGGTTTCGCGCTTTGCTGTTTGAAGCAGGCATAAGAGGAGTCCTTTCAGAACAAAGCCCCCTAAACCCTAAAACCCTCAATTCCAAAGCCTAAACCCTCAACCCTAACCCTGAACCCTAAACCCTAAACCCTAAACCCTAAACCCTAAACCCCAAACCCTAAACCCTAAACCCTTCAAGCCCCCGTATGCAAGGCCGACCAGGAGCTCATGGAGCGCGGGATCTACGGCCTCGGGGGCTGCCTACGTGTCGCCCAAGAGCTCCGGGTGCTTTGGTCGGCGCCCTACCTCTCCAGGCCGGTCGGGTCTTAGGGAACAGGGGTTTGGGTTTGGGTTTGGGTTTAGGGTTTAGGGTTTAGGGTTGAGGGTTGAGGGTTTAGGGTTTAGGGTTCAGGGTTCAGGGTTCAGGGTTTAGGGTTGAGGGTTCAGGGTTCAGGGTTTGCGGTCTGGTGACAGCTTCCATACTTCCGGTAAGGCTCTATCAGGGATTCGATAACCCTAAACCCTAAACCCCAAACCCGACACCCTAAGCCCGAAGCCCTGAACGGTGCCCGGCCTGACCCCAACTCTGACCCCTGAAATCCAAAAGCCCCAAACCCCCCCCCTCTGAACCCATAAACCTCTTGTAGTAGAACTTTCAAGAACCCCATAAATCCACATGAACCTGCGTGAGCTTCCGTATTTCTAAGCATGGAGGGTTCAGGGGTGTAGGGTTCTACAAAAGATTCTGTCAGGATTTAGGGCTTAGGGTGTGGGGTTCGCGGTCTAATTGCTGGTAGTAAGGCCTCATAGCTGTTAAAGAGGGTCTACAGGATGGCAGGTCAGGGTTATTTCTGGTAGTTTAGTGATAGTGTAGGCCCCTGATTCAAAACCCCGGTTGATAGTGTTTTCCACGGGTCGCTAGAATACGCCGCATATAGTTGCGTCGATGGTGCGGCACACTCCCCGCATGTTGAGGGCAAGTGTTTTCGGTTACTTGGAGGTTCAGGGTACTTACCAGTTATAACTGTACTCATAAGTGGACTCATAACTGTATTTGTGAATACTAACCAGTTATAACTGTACTTATAACTGTGTTTGTAGTTTAAGGAGTGCCATGAACCTCCAAGCACACAGGGTCCTGGATGCTGCCAGGTCGTGCTTCCAGAGCCAGCACTACTGATAAAGGAAGTGGTTTCGACAAAACACAGATACATACATACATATATATATATAGATATGTATGTATGCATGCATGCATGCATGCATGCATGCATGTGTGTGTATGGAAGGCTTGGAAACTGTTGGGCATGATGTGCCCCTTGCGCAAGGCTTTGGTGCGTTTTCGAACTGGGCGCCTATCAAAAGGCGAACCCCAATGGTCGCATTGTGCTTACGCCCCTCCTATGACTTCGGGTTCAGAGTTTGGGGGTGCGGGGCTTATGGTCTCCTATGATTTCGGGCTTAGGCTCTAGATTTATGGCTTAGCATGTGCGTCTTCGGGTTTCTGCAGTTACCGGTGTTTTACGCAAAAAAGGCACCGCTCGATTCTCCAAGAAGTCAGACAGAGGCAACAAGCATTCAAGGGTTTACGGCTGCAGGACAGGTTCGCAAGTCGGAATCAGTTGGTACGCTGCGGCATCCCGATGCAATGATATCCCACCATTCCATCAGCAGCACCGTGCAGTATTGCACGAAGACTACATTCGTACCCCCTATTATACTCCCGATTCAGGACTGCTAGTATAAGGGGGAACATGCCAACCCTAAACCCTCAACCCTAAACCCTAAACCCCAAACCCTAAACCCTAAACCCTAAAGCCTAAACCCTCAACCGAGACCGAGGCCCCTCTACATCGAAGTGGGATTCATGCTTGCTCTGCTTGGGACGTACCTTGCCACGGCCCTCTTCCTGATGGTCGTCTTTATGGGTTCGCAAGGGCTTGGCCTCGTCGTTTCGATTTCGCCGCACGGCACGAGCAAGGAAGACCTTGGGATGAATCTGATTTTTTCCAGGTGCTGTTTCGCAATACCGTCGCAATGATGCGAGCGACTGCTCTGACGATGAACTCTGAAACTCTCCAATTAGTCCTTGTCTGTTGATGATAAACCTTAAACCCTAAACCCTAAACCCTAAGCCCTAAACCCTTAACCCTAGACTCGTTTGCTGAGGTTTGCCCCGCTCCTGGTACTCGTTCACCTGCTTCGTCGGAACAACATGGCAAAGCAGAGGCTGATTTCGGACCTGAAGACCTTCGACCTCGAGCGGGCTTCTAGGTTGTTTCTTCTGGGGAGGTTGGGTGGCGTGTAAAGCTTGGTGAGATGACCTTCCGAGGCGCTTTACGTCATGCTAGGTGGAGGCCAGGAAATCTTGAGCAGGTTCCCCTTGCACGAGCAGCTGACCACCTCAACTCATCAAGGTCAGGTCTCAAACCCTAAACCCTAAACCCTAAACCCTAAACCCTAAACCCTAAACCCTAAACCCTAAACCCTAAACCCTAAACCCTAAGCGCTAATCCCTAATCCCTAAGCTCTCAAGAGCAACTTAGGCTTCTTGCCGCACGGACTTCGACCGGAAGTTCATAACCAGGGCCATCGTCGAGTTGTACGGCCACTTGTGCTTACTTGGAGGTTCATGGTGCTTATTGACCAATTATAACTGTACTTGTAGGGTTTAGGGTTTGGGGTTTGGGGTTTAGGGTACTGTACTAATTAACCAATTATAACTGTACTTATAACTTTTGACCCACTTGTAAGCTCCTTAAGTGCCCTAATATGGTTATAAGTACAATTTTAAGTACAGTTAGAACTGGTTAATCCTATCGCTTTGCTGCTTCTTGCTGCGGCTGCTGTTGTTTGCCGTAACCTGCATATGGGGGTTTACGAAAATAAGGGAGCCCTCATATAGACCCCCAAGTAGTAGGACTCCCTATGATTCCCTTATACCAGTAGCAAGGACCCCCCAAGTAAGGTACCCCGAATCTCGGAAACCCCCATCTCGCTGCTGCAAAGCCCGGCCTGCGGATCCAGGCATGGAGCTGGGGTAGGTAGCTACTCAACAGAGCTGTTAGTAGGATAACCCCCAAGTAGGGTCTTAAAAAAAAGGTTTTTAAAAACCCTAGCTACTCAATAGAGCTGTTAGCAGGGTAACCCCAAAGTAGGGTCCAGTAAGGTCTCCTGAGTATACGATGCCTGTTTGGCTGACGTTCCAAGGGTTGAGCCGCGTGTTGAAGCATGACCCTCCTGCGTGTTGGTAAGGATCTGAAGAGGCCTTCACGCAATATGTGCGCGGGCCATTGCGAGAGGAGCTGCATGGTAGCCGGGGCTATGGCGTAAAAGCGCTTCGACAACACTTGCCAGTTCAATTCCCATCCCCCCCGCCAAATCCTTGAGCAGACAAAAAGCCCGAAACCCTAAACCCTAAACCCTAAACCCTAAACCCGAAAAAACAACAGCGGGTATAGAGTTTCGGTTTTGCGACAGGAGATGCTGGGCAGCCAGTGCCACTTTCCCGCGCAGTATGTCCTCATGATTGGATTTACCGTCTTTTGTGCTGCTTTGGACCCGGGGTTCGAAATCAACCGAGGGTAGTGTTTAGGGTTTAGGGTTTAGGGTTTAGGGTTTAGGGTTTAGGTTTAGAGTTTAGGGTTGAGGGTTGAGGGTTTAGGGTTTAGGGTGTACCCTTGCACACGTAGGGGCACTCCTTTTGGAGGTCCACTGCCCTGGCGGTTTGCATGAATGTGCAACTGGTGGCAAGCTATGCTTGTCCTCCGGACTGTCGTAGTGGTAGCAGCAGGAGGAGGAACGTGGGTGGTTATACTAGAACATGTTGTTGTAGCAGCACCACCCGTAGTTGCAACAGGAACAGAATAGCAAGTGTAAGCTCGATTGGCATTCTTGGAGCAGCTGCGTCCGCAGCTGTATCAACTACGATAAGAACGACCGCGGTCACCGCATCAAGAGGCGCCAGTGCCATTTCGACTCATGTTCGTCACAGCAACCAAAAGAGTGCATCGAATGCATCGCAACAATGGGACGCGTCCCGGTGCATGCAGCTAGCAAGACTTCAGCCGCAGGACAGTTTGGTGGCCTTGTGGCTTGGAGGCATGGACACCTACTGGCTTTGGTCCGAGTTCATCGGCTTCGCAGTTGGCCTCTTGGCCACTTCTGTCCAGTGTCTCTTATAACGTCGCTGCACAGTCATATGACAGTTCACCTCGAGGTTCTATAGTTACTTAGGTCCATACAGCACAAAGGATATTTACAGGTTCAGACCCCTCACCCAACAGCCAGAATATCCCTTAAAAGGATTATTTAGGGTACCCCATTCCCCCATGTCGGCTGCAAAGCGAGGCTTATACATGGGGTGGCTGGTGGCTGCGGTGCAGCTTTTAATCTCGCTCTGCGACTGGCTAGCGGCTCCCATCCGCCCGGGCATCCTGCTGGACTACGCCCAGAGCTTCGTTCTCCTGGTGGTCTTCGCGGGGCTGTTCTACTTCGGGAGGCTTGTGTGCCAAATCGCATACCCTAAACCCTAAACCCTAAACCCCAAACCCCAAACCCCAAACCCTAACCCCTAAACCCTAAACCCTAAACCCTAATCCCTAAACCCTAAACCCTAACCCCTAAACCCTAAACCCTAAACTTCCGGAGGCTCGTATGCCAAGTCGCATACAAGAGCAGCCTTTGGTTTGCCCTGGCCTTTGCGGGTGGCTCCCTCTCTTTGGCCGTGCTTGCCTTCTGGATGGACCGGCGGGAGAGGCGCCGGCGGCATGGTCTCACGGTTTCCTAGACCCTGTGGGGGTTTGTTTGAAGGGGCGATGAACCCTGAACCCTGAACCCTAAACCCTAAACCCCAAACCCTACACCCTAAACCCTAAACCCTAAACCCTAAACCCGACACCCACTCAACACCTGCGATTCTTGCGGCTCCGACTCTCAGGGCGTTTTCCGGCATCTGCTGCTGTGCCCATGGGGGCTTAAAGTCTTTAAAGAGCCTCCGTCAGCAGCCCGCCCGCCTTTTGAGATGGACTCGATGTCCCGATGCCATGACAGGAACTTTCAGAGGCTTCTGCATCAAAAACGATGGGTGCACTTGAAGGCTGATGGGTGCCTGTAGTGAATAGGCTCATGGGCCATTATCACGAAGGCTTTGCGGCTTTGTGTTTGCGAAAATTCTTGGTTTAAGTGCTCCTTGCCGGCGTTTGTTAGCTTGAAGTGTACCCTCCAACGCTTTGCAGACTGCTTCGCTGTTTCTTTCGCTCGCCCGGCTTTGACCGGAGCTCCTGTGACTCACAGAGAAAACAGTACGTTTGCACGCTTGCTGTTTTGAGCTCTGCTTGTCACGCCGTAGCAAGCAGAACTGCTGGTGACGAATGCCTGAATCACGGAACTAGTCCATGTCACTGAGGCTGCACGGCCGAACAAGGCAGTGACTGTAATTTGAGCTGAGTGGGAAGCCTGTAACGTCTTTTGGGCATCGGTCATGCTACCAGAACCCCCACTAAGGCACTTGCATTCCTGTCATGCCTCTGGCGACCAGGGGAAAATCTATCCCTTGGCTCGAGAGGTTAGGGTTGTTCTTGCTTGGATAAGGCCCGAGGTTTTGTGAGGGTCAAATCTAGTCTTATCAAGGCTCCCGGCGTGGGGCGAGAGCAGAGTGGCGAGAGCCGAGAGGCAACGCACGTTGAGACTTCACGGAGCATGCTGTTGCTGAGCTGTAGTTACTGTAGTTGTAACAGCATACTTCACAAGAGTTGCGGCATGGAAGAGCAACTACGTGGAATTATCGTGAGGACCTGGCCAGGGAGGTGTATGTGTTGGGCTGTTCCCCCTTCATACTAACAGTCCTGAATAGGGATTGTAATCGGGGGTACTAGAATCCCTATGAAGGACTGTTCGTAGAAGGGGGACATCCCAAATGTGATTGTTTGCCGATTCTTCAGCGTTGGGCTCGAACCTGCACGCCACTGTTCGCGGGCTTCTCTGCCGGGGCCGGTAGCATGCTGAGATGGGCCGTGCTGCTCTCCTTCTTCACCGTGGCTGCGGCGGAGGGCTGTGAAGGCAAGCTTGAAAAGGATCATCAGAGATCTGGCCCTTGAAGTTCTCAAAAGTTTTGAAGAAATTTCAACCTCTGCTAGAAGCGTTGAGACACAGGTAGCTGCGAGGACGACATCGATGCGAGTCAGCAGGGCCCTGAGTCTGTGTCATATCTTACAGGTTCAATCTCTTTTCTAACGGCTCTCTGCTTTTCAGGTGGTTCTCGTCAAAATCACGTTCATGTGTAGGTTTGGGCTCGGTGACAATTCGAGTTCCAAGTCGCGTTCCGGCTCCGGCTTAACCGTGCTGAGGCTCCTGCAGCACGCCCTTGCAGAGAAGGAGACATCCTGGGAGGACTTCCGGCTGCCCGAAACCCGAAACCCGAAACCCTAAACCCTAAGCCGGAAACCCTAAACCCTAAACCCTAAACCCTAAACCCTAAACCCTAAACCCTAAACCCTGAACCCTAAAACCTAAACCCCAACCCCACATCCTGGGAGGACTTCCGGCTGGCTTCCAAGGGCAGCCCTGAATTCTCCATCCACCTGGCCTTTATGGGCTTCCGTGCGGCGAAGTACATGTTGACACTTGGCTCGAGTACATGGAGAAGGGGGGGTGTTTTAACAAGGTACTAAACCCTAAACCCTAAACCCTAAACCCTAAGCCCTAAACCCTAAACCCTAAGCCCTAAGCCCTAAACCCTAAGCCCTGAACCCTAAGCCCTAAACCCTAAACCCTAAACCCTAAGCCCTAAGCCCTAAACCCCAAACCCCAAACCCTAAACCCTAAACCCTAAACCCTAAACCCTAAACCCTAAGCCCTAAGCCCCAAACCCTAAACCCCAAACCCTAAACCCTAAACCCTAAACCCTATACCCTAAACCCTAAACCGAAGGCACGAGGAAGCCGAGGAAGTCCACGAGGCGGCCCAGCATGCGGGGAACCAGCTTAGGCGCACCTGGGCTCGCAGCCGGATCTCTCACATTCGAGCTGGGTTTAGGGTTTAGGGTTTAGGGTTTAGGGTTTAAGGCTTGATTTGTGGGACTTTGGGATTAAAGGGTTTGGGCGGCCCTTAGTGTTGCTGAGACAGTTTGAGGCAGGACTTCATGTTTGGATGCGAGCGTCTCGGACAGGCTTAGGCTGATGAACTGAGGGTAATTTACCTTACAACCGAAACCCGAAACCCGAAACCCGACACCCGAAACCCGAAACCCGAAGCCGTAAGCCCTAACTCCGAAAAATGTACACTCTAAGCCCTATACCCTGTAAGCGCCCATATGATCCCGCAAGCTGGGTGGTGATCGGTTGGCACTTGTGGGGTCCTCGACTTTCGGAAGTAAGTTCCTGAAAGGTTTAGGGTTTAGGATTTAGGGTTTAGGGTTTAGGGTTTAGGGTTTTGTGTTTCTGGTAGCAAGCATTACGACTCTGAAACCCTAAACCCTAAACCCTTAATCCTCAACCCTAAGCCCAAAACCCAAGACCCTAAACCCCTAAACCCCTAAACCCCTAAACCCCTAAACCCCTAAACCCCTAAACCCCTAAACCCCTAAACCCCTAAACCCCTAAACCCCTAAACCCCTAAACCCCTAAACCCCTAAACCCTAAACCCCTAACCCCTAAAAACCCTAAACCTAAAACCCCTAAACCCCTAAACCCTAAACCCCTAAACCCCAAACCCCTAAACCCTAAACCCCTAAACCCCTAAACCCCTAAACCCCTAAACCCCTAAACCCCTAAACCCCTAAACCCCTAAACCCCTAAACCCCTAAACCCCTAAACCCCTAAACCCCTAAACCCCTAAACCCCTAAACCCCTAAACCCCTAAACCCCTAAACCCAAAGCCCTAAACCCCCAAGCCCTAAACCCTAAACCGTAAACCCTAAACTCTAAACCCTAAACCCATCTGAGGCATGGTGGACACCGCCCCGCCAGAGCAGGTCAGGGAAGTGTTCCGACAAGCCCTGACCCCGATGGAGGAGCAGGGGTTTAGGGTTTAGGGTTTAGGGTTTAGGGTTTAGGGTTTAGGGTTTCACGGTTTAGGGGTTTAGGGCGGTGTGTACGGTTGAAGGCTGGCTCGAAGCTAGAGGTGGCCTCCTTGTTCCTTTTTTTTATGGTCAGAGCAACACCCTTTGAGACCCTGAACCCCAAATCCCGGACCCTAGACTATCCTGAGCCCAAAGCCGTAAACCTTCAGCCCTATAAGGCCTTTTCCCTAAACCCTAAACCTGGAACCCCCCCCATACAAATTCTACGGGCATGTCTTGGGAGGACTTTTTGAACGATGTACAGAAGCAGCTGGATCGGGGAGTTCCGCTCGTGGACCACTCCTTGTCCTCATACGACCTCTATCGCGCCAGGAAAGCCCCACACCCCAAATCCCAAAAAGCTTAAACCTGAACCTTAAACACCCCAAGCCAAAACAGCCTTAACCCTGCGCTTTCGGGTTGTGGGGTTCAGGGTTTCGGGGCTTCGGGTTTGGGGCTTTGCAGTATCCAACACCCCTGACTGTCACGAGAAGTACCTTAAACTAGGCAAAGGTTCTTATTCGGAGCGAAGGTTTAGAAACCCTAAACCCTTGCATTCGTCAATGAAGGGGATGTGGGGGACCCCTGTATTCCAGGAAGGCCTACCTGAGTTCCGTCCAAGATGCGCACTCGGTCCTCGCGAAGTTGTGGAGCATCTGCACTAAGTTGGACCACCGCCACATCGAGAACGACCTGCGCGAGTGCACCCAGGCAAGCAAAGCCTTCGAGGAAGCATACCCGAAAGCGAAGCTCGACTTCTTGAGCGCCCTGGAGGAAGAGTTTGAGAAAAGGGTGGCTTGGTAGCCCAGTGGTGCCCTTTACCTTTTTTTTTTGGGTTATGGTTTCCCTTATAAGATACCCTAAACCCTAAACCCTAAACCCTAAACCCTAAACCCTAAACCCTAAACCCTAAACCCTAAACCCCAAAAAGGGCGCCCTTTTGTTATAAGATGGTTGCTGGGCTACCCAGGTGGAGCACAGACAGAACCTCAGGAAATTTGCAAACATCATCGTGGCCGAGATGATGGCGATCGCGCGACATATGTCCCAGGAGGCGTTACACCCTAAACCCTAAACCCTAGCCCTAAACCCTAATCCCTAAACCCTAAACCCTAAACCCTAAACCCTAAACCCTCAACCCTAAACCCTAAACCCTAAACCCTAAACCCTAAACCCTAAACCCTCAACCCTCAACCCTAAACCCCAAGTCCCCTGAGGTCAGCAAGGTTCTAACAGACACTACCGAGGGCTTGGCGAAGCTCGCGGGTTTGCTCCCGGAAGGCACCTGGGGGTCGTTTTTTTCGTGGTTAAGGGTTTCGGGTTTAGGGTTTGGGGTTTAGGGTTTGGGTTTAGGGTTTACAACGGTTTCTTGTGTCTTGGGGGGTTTAAGGCCTAGGGGGCTCAGGGGGCTTGACTTGCGTTTTTAGGTCTGGTGGGTTTCGCGCAGGGGCAAACGCGACCGAAGCAGCGGCAAGCTGAGACAGACCCAGAAGCTGCCCAAAGTGGTGGCTAAGAGCCTCAGCTCTGTTTCAATGCAGCTTGAGGTACCTCGGCACGCTTTCAACAGTTCGAGTTGGCCTTTAGTGTGTTGACTGCTCACCAGCTACGTCAGGTGCCCTGGAGTTGAAGTCTGCCCAAGGGCCGCATGCCCTTAAATCCTTAGGCTTTAACCCCCCCAAACTTAGGGGGCTCTCGGGGTACTGGTACGGTTCAGGGTTTATGAAGGTTAAGGCCTAGTTTCCTATTGGAGTGCTATTAGGCTGTGGTTTGGGGGTTCGGCTTTGGGCTGTGAGTTGTCACGTTTATGAAAAGTTGTTGCGTTTATTAAAAGACACGCCGTCTCCACAAGAGCCTCACAAGGCCCAAAAGGCTCCAACTCAGCTTGCTGCGCTGATCGCTGGGCGGACGGCAGAAGATCCGCAATCCTTGTGCCCAGCGATCTGCATCTGATGCATCTACTGCCCTGAATCTTCGATATCACCTGCGGGCTTACAAAGACAGACCTCCTTCATATCATAAAGACGCCCTATGCACCGGGCTTTTGTTGTAGAAGCCCCAGATGAGAGGTGCGACCGTGAGCTGAAAGGCGTGCCGGCGCGAAAAGACTTCAAGTGGGAGTGAACTGGCCGCCGAGTGCGCGAAGCATTGAGGCTGGAGGAATGCCTTAGTAGTGCCCTCTGAGAGTCTAACACCTACTTGGAGGTTCGTATCAGTAAGGGCATAAGTAGGGTGACTATGGTTATAGGATTATTTAGGGCACTTACGAACCCCAGTTGTGAGTACCCATGAACCTTCAAGTAGCACTGAGCCACCAGTTGCCGCTGTCTGCGCAGCTTTCTGCGGCTATCTTTGCCGTGGGCCGGGCCCGATCTGGTCGAGGTCACGAACCATCCAGGCTCTGAAAGCCCTGCCCCCTCCCAACCTGAGCCCTAAGCCCTAAGCCCTCAACCCTAAACCCTAAGCTAGAGTTTCCGAGTACAAAAGGGCCCCTTTGAGAATCTCACACCCTCAGTGACGCCGCACAGTAGACAAAAAGGGTCCCCTGAATGTTCGGAAAGCTCACCGCGAAATTCCCGAGCCTCCACTGTGAAAGCAAGGGAAAGTCCAGGGTGCAGGGTTTGGGGTTTAGGGTTTAGGGTTTCGGGTTTAGGGGATGGAAAGATTCGGGGGCCTTGAGGTTTTTGAAGTCACCGAGCATCATCACCAAGTGGGTTGCCAAGTTTAGGCCAGTGCGACGGAGACTTCCCCGGCCCGGCCGCACTGGAAAGAGACACATCTCCGAGTCGGCAAGCTTTTGCAGGGTCAACCCTAAACGCTAAGCCCTAAGCCCAAAACCGTAAACGCTAAACCCTAAACCCTAAACCCTAAACCCTAAACCCTAAACCCTAAACCCTAAACCCTAAACCCCAAAACCTTCCACCCTCAACCTAAACCCGCTTTGGGATCCTTTCACAAGGGCTCCGAATCTGAAAGGTGGGGTGGGGGCCCACAACCCCTGAAACCGAGCCCTGAACCACCCAAGCTAAAATGGACCTTACACCTTTCAACCCCAAACCCTTAAACCTTAAACCCTAAACCCTAAACCCTAAACCCTAAACCCTAAACCCTAAACCCTAAACCCTAAACCCTAAACCCTAAACCCTAAACCCTAAACCCTAAACCCTAAACCCTAAACCCTAAACCCTGAACCCTAAACCCTGAACCCTGAACCCTAAACCCTAACTCCCAAAAAGAGGCCCTATGTTGGAGCCCATGCACCGCTTTCTGGCCTTCCTGGCACTCTGGGCGCCGGGCGCCTTCGGCTCCTGCGACTCCAGTGCGCCTTGCGGTCGGGCGCCCGTGGAGGGGGGGGTTTAGGGTTTAGAGTTTAGGGTTTAGGGTTTAGGGGGAGGGGATGGGGTCCAGGAGGTTAAGTAGGGTTTAGGGTTGAGGGTTTTGGGGTTTTAGGGTTAGGGCTTAGGCTGTTTTAGGAGGTTTGTCCGGGGGGAGTTTAGGGAGCTTCAGGGGGTCTTAGGGGGCTTTTAGTCAGGGTTCAGGGTGCAGGGGTTTAGGGTTTCGGGGGCTTTGGTGGGTCTGAGGGTCTTAGGGGTGTTGGGTTTAGGGGTGCAGGGCAGCCTTAGGTTTGGATGTCGAGGTCCCGAGCTTCGGCAGAATTGGGGACTTGTGATGGCGCGATGCTAGGGTTTAGGGTTTAGGGTTAGGGTTTAGGGTTTGGGGTTTAGGGTTTAGGGTTTAGAGTTTAGGGTTTAGGGTTTAGGGTTTAGGGGAAGGCTCCTCCTAAATTAGTGCTCTTGTGCCACACTCCTCTGTCTGAGGCGATGAGGATGCCGCTCTCTTGCTGCAGTCCGGCACAAAGATGCAGGCGCACGCCCCCGCAGACGCGTAGCCCCCTGAGGAATACCCCTTAACTAAGGAATATACCCTAAAGCATACTAAGGATCCCTACATAGTTTAAGGCATCTTCCTTCATTAAGGAATATACCTTCAACCATACTAAGCAGCCCTATATAGCTGAAGATATATTCTCGAACTAAGGGGTATTGGGCTCTCTGGGTACAGAGTGAGCTTTGGGCCAGAATGCCTGTGAATGCCGCAATGTGGCTTTACCACGTCAGGCCAGTCTCTGCGCGTGCAATCTGGCGGTTGATACTGTAGTTTAGGGTTTAGGGTTTAGGGTTTAGGGTTTAGGGTTTAGGGTTTAGGGTTTAGGGTTTAGGGTTCTCATGAACACTTTGTGTTCGTGCTGGCCACAAGCCTTTCTAACTGTTGATGTCGTGTTCGATATGCGTGCCTTCTTGTTTAGGATGGCCAGGAGATAGGGTGTTGGTACCACGTATTGTGCGAAGCGTGCCGATAGGAACCCTAATGCCTAAACCCTAAACCCTAAACCCTAAACCCTAGACCCTCAACCCTCAACCCTCAACCCTCAACCCTCAACCCTCAACCCTCAACCCTCAACCCTCAGCCCTCAACCCTCAACCCTCAACCCTCAACCCTCAACCCTCAACCCTCAACCCTAAGCCCTAAGCCCTAAGCCCTAAGCCCGAAGCCCTAAAGCCCTAAGCCCTAAACCCTAAGCCCACAAGTGCTTGACAGGTCAGCATTGACAGAAGAAGAGCCAACTCGAGCGGATGCGAGGGCACCTTGGTGTCGAACTCTTCTGATCGGCCTCCTTAAACTTCGGCCCCAACGGGCGACGGTGGCCCTTCCCCCTGAAACCTTAGCAGGCTTAGCTTTACAGCAAGAAACTTAAGTTCTACTCACTATACCGAGGGGACCATGGTACAAAAAGCCCCCAAGTTTGCTTCGCGGCAAGCCCAGATAAGCCCCGAAAAACCCAAATCACTGATCCCCCAACACCCGACATCGCTGGACCCCGACAACCACCCTAAACCCTAAGCCCTAAACCCTAAACCCTAAACCCTCAGCCCTAAACCCTAAGCCCGAAACCCGAAACCCTAACCCCTAAACCCTAAACTCTAAACCCTGACCCGCTAGCACTGCTGAGCCCCCATCCCCCCCCCCCCCCCCCCCCCCAACCCCTAAAGCCCGGAAGCCCCCCCCTCTCCCGAAAATGCTGGCAAAACCCCTCAACCCTGAACCCCCAAATCCCAACACCCTGTGACTTGGGGTTTAGGGTTTAGGGTTTAGGGCTTAGGGCTTAGGGCTTAGGGCTTAGGGTTTAGGGCTTAGGGCTTAGGGTTTAGGGCTTAGGGTTTAGGACCCATCAGCTAAAGCCGCATTGTCCCTCCAAGCACGCAGGCATCCCTGAGGGGATGGGCCGAGGGAGACCTGGCATTTTTGGCGGGCTTAGGGTTTAGGGTTTAGGGTTTGGGGTTTAGGGTTTAGGGTTTAGGGTGTCTCAATGAGTGCGCGCTGGTGCCGGAAGCACCAGGCGGGCGCCCCGACCTGCATAAGCCCACCCCCGCTGGCGCTCCACCCTCGCCTTAACTTCTACGGGTTTAGGGTTCTTTTGAGCTCTGATTGCGCTTTTGTTGTTTTTCTTTTCTGGTTGGGTCGAGAAAGTCTAGAAGCTCGGCCTCGATGTCGATATTTTCCCCGAAGTTCGCATGTCCATCATTCGAGGGCTTCTGGGAGGGTTAAAAAGTGAGAGGCCGGGCTTTGCCTGAAGTCAGAGGTTACTGATGGTGGCCTCCAGGCAGGGTCAGGCAGGCGATCAGGCAGGGGCCTCCCGAACAGGCCCCCACACAGGCGCCTCCCAGGCAGGGTCCAGGCGGGGCCTCCAGACAGAAATCTCGCAGGCAAAAGCCCCTGAGGCAGGGGCCTCCCAGGCCACGGGGGCAGGCGAGGGCCCACCAAAAAACATCGCTCGACCGCCTACCTGAACAGGCCCTGACGGCCTCTGCTCCACGAAACACGACCATGGAGGTGAGGCTCCTCTGGGAGAGAAGCCAGAGGTTGCTGCGTTATATTCGAAGGTTTGGGGAGGCGACCTGACGGGTTTCTCGCCAGCGACCTGCCGGGTCCACCGCGCAGCCCGCAGCTGCCTGCGGGACTGGAGCTCCGTCGCCCGGAGGGCTTCTGGCTCCGGAGCTACCTCGCCTGCCGGCTTCGGTGCGTTCGCCCTGCTCGACGGCCCCGGGCTCACTCAGTTTAGGGTTTAGGGTTTAGGGTTTAGGGGGCTTCGGGTTCGGGATGTTTCAATTTTCGGGTTTTAAGGGATCTTCCGAGGTTCGCTGGCGTTTTGAGTCCTCCCTGACGCCTTGAAACCTGTAACTTTAAGGGGTGAGGGTTCAGGTTTTAGGGTGCGAGATTTAGGGGTTCTGCAAAATAGTAGGTGCAAGCCTCCAAGTTGTAGAGAACAGGAAGGCCCCTAGGTTTGGAGATTCCAGCCCGTGAGTTGAGGCTCAACATCGGCAACACGTACGACTACGAAGGGTTTGATCGTGACCCGGAGGCTGTGAAGACACGCATCAAGTGGGCCAAAGACCAAGGACCCTGGACCCTAAACCCTAAAC